ATTGTAATATCAGGCTGGAGTTGAATTTCTTGTGCTATTATTGTCTTCGCCTCGTTCATCTTTTGTCTTTTCATCTAACTTCACCAGGAATTTGAATGTTTTTTCGATGTTCAAAACAAATTTTTAGAAATATGGACTCTGATTATTTTCCTGTTGCAATGAGAACAAATGTTATATATATTACTACTTATAAATTTGTTTTTTTTCTAATTTATTACTTGAATAGAGTAAGGAATTACCTCTTTCTTTTCTGTAATGAATTTTTCTGCTTTGCATCCAATAAGAGTTTCTGTTGCGTCAAAGAGTGTTACTCTTGCATTATCCGTGCCATTTTACACGAGAATCTTAACTAAGTACCTGTATTTTTCATTGTTAATTTCTAAATACAATTAGTATTGTATTTTAATATGTTCATGGCATTAAAAAAGATATATTACTTAACCTTGGTACTTGGTCATTAATGATTCTGCGGCATTTGTCATTCAGACACTATTTACTAACATCTGTTCGCGGGGAAAATCGTTTTCACTGAAGTCATTGTTTCCTTAAGCAACAATTTATCGGTTATAAAAGATTCGGTCTTTTTATAAGATCCGGTTATAACAAAATCAAAGAAAGAAAAAAGATTACAACTTTCTTTTTCTCGAACAAATCGCAAGATCCTGTTTTGCGGTCTCTTGCTTGTGTGGGTTCTTCGCCTGCGCCGGGGTTAATCCATGGACCACCGTGCGATCTTGATCCGGTCGGATCTACACGATATGACGGGTGCTATTTCACGAAGGAAATAACAGCCGGGGGTATTATTTCACCAAGGAAATAATAGCCCTAAGTAATCAAAATCGACCAAGCGAAATCGATACTCTTCTCGGGATCAAAAACCAAGTTTTGATCCGGAGGATAACCGTGTGGATCTTAGATCTGATCTCTCTCGAACTCCTGCCTTATTTGACATGGATTATCGCCAAGAACCAGATCTGAAAAGTCCGAGTCTTCAAAGCTCCAAAACTCCGAAGTTCAGTTCTCAATCCGGCAGAGTTTCACCTCAAAAGTTCCCAGTCATTCAAACAATGAGCCTAGGGGTCTATTTATAGGCTCCTCAAACCAGATCTGGGCTCAGATCTGGTGGCTTTCTGACGGAGCCACCATTTGGTGGCTCGGTTTTGGCTGAGCCACCAAGTGGTGGCTCGGCTTTGGCCAAGCCACCAAGTGGTGGCTCGGTCAAGGCCGAACCCTCCTGGTGTTTGGTTTTTGCCATCTTTTCTGGTCTCGCGGTTTATCCGAACTTTTAGTGTTGATCTGGACTTTGATTTGGCAGTCCGGATCCTGATTTGGTAGTAAATCTGTTTTGGTGTTCGAGTTTGAGTTCGAGTCCACTCTCGATCTTGTTTGATGTGGTGGACTCTACGGTTGAATGACTCGTTGTTTCATTGACCCGTTAGCTTGATTGGGCATGTGATTGGATGTATTCCGTTGTTTGCGTTCGGTTCGTTAACCTCGTCGCCTCGTTAATCCGCTTTGTCGCGTGTCACTTGGCTTCGGTGTTGTGGTCTAACGACCATGCTTGGATATATCGCCCGATGGTTCGTTGGTTTGTTGAATCACCGTGTCGAGATGTGTTAAGGGACCTATAAGCAGTTTTATACGCCTACAGATACCCCCTCCAAAGTATTTCAGCCTCATTCTTTTATAGAAGAGTCTGGAATACTTTAGATATGATTGTCCCAACCTTCAGTCGGTATGACGGGACTTTGGAATGGCTTCTATTCTTGATTCCTTCAATCCTCCAGGCTATTCGGTGTTTTGTCGAATGTCTGCAAGGGTTCTGGTGCTGCATTTATTGTCTGACCGTTGTCATAATTTTGAACTTGAAGTCAATTCCTGATTTTCTGATCTTTAGCTCGTGTTTGCTGTTTCAACATAGAACCGACCATCGATTGTTGGCGTTGAGTCTTCATTCGCAACGCGTTGTCCGGCGTTACAGTTTATACTCATACGTCTGCTGGAGTCTTGAGAAGTAGTTTATACTCTTATACTTTTCGGAGTGTTGTTGAGTTATCCTTAAGAATATTTTTAGAAAAATACTCTCCAGAAACTTCTCAACAAAAAATAGGGAATAGTTTATACTCGTATACCTTATTGGAGTACTAAGAATGAGCTGAACCGACCTGATAATGACCCAAAAATGGCAGTAATTAGGCTCAAAAAATCTTCTGACCCTTCCGAATATATGGGAGAGGAATGAATAAATAAGGGACTGAACCGCCGATCAATTTGAAGTCGTTTCGACACTCGGTTCAGCTCCAATTTGAATTTTGGTTCAAATCTGATTCAAACTGGTTCAGAACTGGTTCAACCTGGTTCAAGACTGGTTCAGGACTGGTTTAGCCTGGTTCAGCCTGGTTTGGTCTGGTTCAGCCTGGTCTGGTCTGTTTTAGCCTGGTCTGATCTGGTTCAGCCTCATTTGAACTGATTTATCCTGGTCTGGTCTGGTTCAACCTGGTCTGGTCCGGTTCAAGGCTGGTTCACACTATAAAAGAGCCCTTTTTTTCTCTCTTTAGGCCCCCCCCTTCTCCCTCTTTTTGGATTTTTCTCTTCCCTCGTGCATTCTTTCTCCTTCAAACCCTCAAATTTGTCTTAGATCTACCTTTCCTTTTGATCTTAGACTGAAAAATCCTTCAAAATCTCCATATATAAAATTTCTCTCAGGCCCCTCGAGCACGTGGTTCGAGCCTCCTTCAAGATCTAATTTTTGTTGGATCCTTGAGCTTTTCCTCAGGTAAATCCCTCATAATTTTGGCATATTTCACGTTTAATTTAGTACATGAATTTGTGGGATTGCATATGAGGGTTAGGGTTTGTGATTTGACGCCTCGAGCTCATATTTTAGGGGGTAGAATTTGGAGATCTGAGGGGTTTAATTATAAAAAAGAGGGGATAAAATTTTAGGGTTAGAGTTTGTCACCCTAACTAAAAATTTTTCTGTATCTAATCCTCTGATTTACTTTGCAGATCATCATGTCGCATATCCCGAGAGGTCAATCCCCTACTGCGTCGGCTGATGGCGTGCTTCCCTCGTATGCTGGTGAGCTTTTTTTTTGGCGTATTTATAGATTAATCTTTTTCCCCATTTTGTTCTCCTTGGTGAGACAATTGGGAAGAGCCTTGATTCTCCTTGGTGAGGATCGACGCTTCAAAGATAGGTTTTGCTTGGTCAAAACCATATCTCAAAATAAATAAAGGGGGCGCTTTGAAGCTGCATTGTGCATTATAAGGCAGGGATATATTGTTGATATACCCTATTTTATGAATGCACAATGTAGCCAAATCGTCTCACCCTTTATAAGGCAGTGACTCTATCTTATCCGTTCGTAGGATGAGTTCAACTTCCTTTTATAACTGAGACTAACAAACGCTTAATTGCTTGTTTCCAGTGGGATATCCTTCTGGAGCGTTCTCATCTCATGCAGTGTACGGGCATCGTGACGAGTATTATTCGACCTCCGATGATTTTTCACCTATTACACTTACTCCTCAGTTTGCTTCCGGCACGTCGACAGAGGTTGCCCAAGTGGTGAGGGAAGGTGGACATCGAGTTCTTCGACAGCTGATCACTGATGCGCCTTTCGTGAAGGATACCAGCTCTGTTCAGCCTCTCAGGAAGACTGACTTTTTGTTTGGCGACTCTGTTAGAGATCCTGATGTCGTGTTTATTGATGCCGAGCAGTGCTTCATAAAGATGACGGTGGTTTTCTATATTTGCCTAAGATTCCTCGACACCGCTCATTGACTAAGCTCATGCGTCAGGCCGTGACACGGAAGATGTCGTGGCACTTGACGGAGGAGCATGAGAGCATTCATTGTGGCTATATTACTCATCAGGCAGCTCCTAGTTCGAGCAGGAGTCATATTATTGGATTGCATCCTGGAGTATTGGGGCTGGATACACCGCCGCGTAGCGAGTTTCTTGCTTCTGCTTCTACTTTGAAGAATCGCCTCGCTGACTTAGGACGGGAGATGCCTGCGACACTCCATAGATTCTATGGCTGGGTCTATTCTTTAGACAAGCTTTGGTGGGCTCGTATGACGAAGTACGTCTTAAGCCGATGGAGCGAGGAGTTGCACGCTTGTGGTCTATATGCAGCTATTCGTTCCACCATGGTTTACCCGTCAGCGCTAAACATTTCTTCGCTTTGTGCGTGCTCTATAACCTGGATTCGAACACTTTTCTGACTAAGCACGGAGAGTTAGGCTTAGCTCTCCATGAGATGCACAGGATTTCTGGTTTGCCCATGGGTCAGATGCTATATCAGGAGTACTTTCCCTCCAACCATGAATTTAGTCAGCTGAAGGATCGCATGCCCGACCGCTATGAGACTTTATGGGATCTCACATGTCACTACCATATTGCTTTGGCACAGTTTGAACCTTTAGCGAAGAGGACTAAGTCACATGTGAGCCTGAAGCAGTTCGCGTGTTATTTGCTCAGAAATCTGGAGAGCAATTGTGGCGAGGCTATTTGTGAGCTGGCAACGCTTACTCCTTTAGAGGTTAATGGTCTGCTGAAGAAGATTGACGCTCACTCCTATACCATTAGCAGTCTCAAGAGTGGCTTTCATGCAGGGACCAAGTTTAAATCATTCTTATGGCATGCGACCACATCAATTCAGCCGATGACCCTTCTCGCCGGTTACCTCGCTATCTGGTTAAAGAAATGCGTGGTCCCGTATCAGCATTGGAAGTGCCCTACCCAGTGGTTCAGCTTGCCTATAAGAAGGAACTTTCACTTCTTCCGGTGATGGTAGCTAACATTCATCGAGGGCTTCGACAGATTTCTAGTGCTTTCACACAGAAAGAAGATGAACCGTCAGCTCGGATTCCTCTTACTAAGGTGGAGCTCCCATACACTTATTTGATGGCTTGGTTTGTCCTAAATCGTTCTGATATGATGTCGGTACCTAGCACCATAGACCACTCTGTTCCCCTACTATAGTTGTTTGAGAATGGCAGGTGGGAGGGGCAAGGATTCCCTGAAGTCAGGAAGCAGCTATAGGTCCACAAGTGTTGGGTATTTTCCACTTGCTTCCCGCAGTTCTCGAGCCAATATGACGAGTGTTTAACTGATGAGGAGAGGCCGAGGGGAACTCAGACTCATTTAGATGTCGGCTGCTTTAACTGGCTAGTGAACATTAGGTCGGGTTATCTGACCTTCCGGGTGAAGAATCAGTGTTTCATAGAGCCATATCTACCCTGCCGATTCGCCCACCAGTTTGGTTATGATCAGCTTTATGTCGGGAATCCACGTCAGCAGCTTCGGACTCATGGAGGTTTGGTGGATGGTCTCCGGGATGGCTGTGGACCGTGACGGGCTGTATTGGTGCTAAGTTCAGTCTCCCGAGTGCTGAGTGTCAGTTAAAGCTCACCTTCTTAAGCTGCAGGTGGTTGTTAGCAGCTAACAAAACCGTCCCCGTGAAGCCGATTGCAGAGTTAGTGGCTGAGGAGGCTTCTCAGGCTGATTCTCGTGTGATTCAGGAAAATTCTCGGTCACAGAGGACGCGGAGCAAGACTCGTCGAATTGACGAAGAAGGAAAAAAGTCCTTCAATTCCGCTGAAGAGGCCTCAGGCGGATATCCTGAAGATTACGAGGAATATTTCGAGCGAGGTTAATCACCTATCTTTTCCTTCTGTCTTCCAGAATTATTAATCTTGACAATTGTTTGATGTTTCAGGGACAGTGGCTGACAGGGAAGAAGATTTCCGTCCTTTTACTCAGGTAAGACCTTCGATTGTTGTTCCAGCTGCTAGGCAGAAGAGACTAGCCCACAAGCCGCGTGCAGAGCCGCAAGCATATGAGATGGATTTTGCTGGTGATGATCTTGCCAGCGACGGAGGTAATATATACCCTATAGACCATCCTCTTGATCATTCAGAACTTCAGACTCATGCTTTTCCATCTCTATAAAGGAGAGCGTGGAGAAAGCGAGATGAGTCCTGATCCTGCTCCTCATGATTTTGTATTTTCTGGTGAGCCTGACCTACCACACCAGGTAGAAAAGCCTGCAGAAGCTGCCGACGTTAGGGAGACTATCAATGTAGGACCCGATTCAGCGAATCCAGGTATATGTACCATTGATAATATACTCTTTAGATGGCAAACAAAAGTGGTTGAACGATTCAGAATTTGTGCCTCCCCTAATCGTCTCTATGCTTCTTGCTCTTTTAGATAAATTGCAGGAGGCAAACGTGGATCTTGGGAATAGAGAGGCTAACACACCCATAAGAGGTAACTCATTTCCATTGGTCGAAGTCTCTTTATTCTCCTTTTGCATTTATATTTTCTTGTGTTAGATTTTTCGACTGATGATTTCGACGAGGAATGTTTGCTTGTGGACACTCCTATGCTCTACTTCATGTATGGCTCCCCTCAGATTGATGGCCAAATGCCTGAAGATATGTTTCCTGAGTCTACACTCCCTAAGAATCCCAAGGATGGTCCTTTTGAAGGTACGTGCCTCTTCTCAAGTTAATTATAGGACTAGCCATTTTTTTGACTAATGCAGCTATAATGTGATGCATCTGAGAATTCCGTTTTGTGTTTGACAGAAGCTTTTGTCGAGACTGATCCTGTTGAGCCGGCTGCGAGACCAACTACATCAGCTGATACATCCACAGCAGTTATACCTCCACTACCCCTAGTGACTCAAGGGGAAGAAGGTATAAATTAAGCACCTGAGAAATGTTATTTATTTCCTCGTCAAGGCTTTTGACGAATTTCTCCTTTTTGTGTAGGGCTTTCTTCTCGGCTTCATGTGCTTGTGAAGGAGTTGTTATCAGACAACGATCCTGAGAAGATAGTCATCTGCATAGAAGTCCATTCCTTCTTCTCCTTCGTGAATACTATGATTGGCAAACTCTTCCATGGCGGACTTTTCCTTCACCAATTTAAGCCTTTCCTTAATCCCAGAATAAATTCAATAAGGGATGCAGGATATCCGGATCTGGCGAAGGCTATAACCGATGACCTTGATTGCTTAGAGCACGAGCTTCAGATGTTACGTGAGCTCCGGGATGCAGGTGCCTCTTCATTCATTGCTGCCAATTTGGATACTCGCTTACAGACATGGCGCGATACTCGAGTTCTTGCTGAGCTTGAGATTCAGGTGTAGTGGGATCGGGTAGACCGAGTTGAGGCCAATCTTGCTGTTAGATTATCTTCACTTGACAACCTTGACTCTTCTATTGCCTCTTGTGAGACCAAGATAGAATAGTTCCGAAGAGGACTTCGTGAAGAAGATGAGACTTTAAGTATCCTTCAGATGACGAAGATACAGGATCAGCAAGCCCACACTGCCTTATCTGAGGAGTTGAAATCCTTGAAGCAGAAGCTGGTCGAGACGGAGGGGATTGCTATGAAGACTTTAGCCACCACTGAAGAGTCCCTCAGAGCTGAATTGCAGGATGAGCTTAGGCAAGCTTATGATGAGAAGCTGTCTAAGTTTAGTCAGCAGATTTTTAGCCATAGGCTTGATGTATGATTTCATTTACTGAATATTTTGACTTTTGATCCTCTTAGTGGAACTGGTTTTATCTTTATCTTTATCATGATTTCTCATTCTGTTTGAAATGATTGACCATAATACTCACAGAATTTTTGGCAAACCCCCAGCCTTCAACGGGTTTGATAAGCCTTTACCGACTATCGTTTGAATCGAGCTAGCATGCGAATTGTCTAAATCCGTTCTGCATGTAACATTGTGCTAAGAGAGTGAATTCTCTGAGACTTTGTGCTATGATGTCGAATACATAGGCTTCTTAGGTGTTGACTTTAGGATTTTTGGCTAACCCCCAGCCTTCAACGGGTTTGATTAGCCTTTACCGACTACCGTTTGAGTCGGGCTAGCATGTGGATTGTCTAAATCCGTTCTGCATGTAACGTTGTGCTAAGGGAGTGAATTCTCTGAGACTTTGTGCTATGATGTCGAATACATAGACTTCGCCATTGTTACGGGAATAGGCTACCCGGCAACGTGTATTAGACGCTGGCTTATCCCTACTTAGGCTTCAGGATAAAAGTCCCCAGAATCAGGTTCTGGTGTCTTTTTTTACGGAGAAAGACTAAACCGGCGACGCGTGTTAGGCGTCGACATATCCTTTCTTAGGATTCAGGATGAAATTCCCCATACGTGTAAGGCATGGATTTTGGTGTTATTAATAACAATCTGCCACAATGTTGAATATGTGGGCGGGTGTTCTTTTTAACGGTTAAGAACTAACCGGTAGCGCGGGTTAAGCACAGACTTATCCTTGCTTAGGTTTCAGGATAGAATACCCCAGAATCGAAGTCTGGTGTCTTTTTCCACGGAGAAAGACTATACCGGCAGCGCGTGTTAGGCGCAGACTTATACCTGCTTAGGATTAGGGATAAACTTACTAGGATGAATCCTAGATTGATAAATTCTTAGAAAAGGTTGGTGCGGGAAAGGAAGAATTTTATATTCTATTTCCCGATCTTCTTTTAGGGTGAAGGCGAACCCAAATACAAGGAAGGAAGAATTTTATATTCTATTCCTTGATTCTGGAAAGGAAGAATTTTATATTCTATTTCCAGCGAAGAAGAAACTAGAAGTGGGGTGTCCACTCCGAGAATCTGGAAAATTTAGATAAACTTGCCTTTTATAGGATGGGTTATCTAAACTGAAAATTGGTTCTTCGTTTATCGAAGTGGTATTTCAACTTTGGCTATAATCATGGGAAGGCTTGACCAAAGAGAAAGAGAAGGGAGTTATTTCGTTTATCGAAAGGGGACTCTGAACTGAAAGTGGACCTCTTATTCATGGAAAGAGTCAAGAGGGCCAGGAAGACATTTTTGGTGGACCCACTGTCAATTGAAATTGATCAGTGAGGGATTTTGGTGGTGAAAATGATTTTGGGTTATCCTCTAGAATATTAAGTGTAATATTCTTCAAGGAACTTCCCGGTAAATGGGTTATCCTGAATGTACTAGGGATAGTACTTTTTCAGGAACTTCTCATTTATTGGCATTAATTGCATGGCGCCCTCTTGAGTAATCAGGTGATATGCGCCGTTTGAGTAGACTGTGTCTATCACAAACGGTCCTTTCCATTTGGGTTCAAATTTACCTTTCTTCTTGGAGTTGAAGATTATCGGTCGGCGAGCAGCGAGGACCAGATCTCCTTCCTTGAAGCTTCTCTGTCGGACTCTTTTGTTAAAAGCCCTAGATATTCTGGCTTGATAAAACTCAATGTGTTGTTGAGCTTCCAAGCGCTTTTCATCCAACATTTTGAGTTCTTCGAGACGTTTTTGATGTTGTTCTTCTGTCGTCATCTCAGTTGCGAGAGCGATCCGAAGGGATGGGATTTGGATTTCCAATGGTAGCACAACTTTACATCCGTATACCAACGAATATGGGGTAGCTCCTATAGGTATGCGTATGGTGGTACGATAAGCCCAGAGTGCTTCACCGAGTTTATCATCCCAATCTCGTTTATTGGTCTTCACGAGCTTTGACAGGATCTTAATGATCGTCTTGTTAAACGCCTCAGCTAATCCATTCGCAGCGGGATAATAAGTTGTTGACGAAATATCTTGAATTTTGAACTTGTCACAAAACCTGACGAAAGTGTTGCTTATGAACTGTGGACCGTTATCATGAATGATCCATCTTGGCACGCCGTGTCGGTATATGACATGATGTTTGATGAAATTGATGACGTTGTTCGTCTTCACTTGTCTAAGCGGAATCGCTTCAGCCCACTTTGAAAAGTAATCCGTGATTGCGAGGATTAATCGATCACCTTTAACTGAAGGGGAAAAAATAGGACCGACAATGTCCATACCCCATGTCTCGAACGGCCAAGATGTGGTTGATGTGTGTAAACGCTCTGGTGGCTGGTGCATATAATTTGCATGTACTTGACAGGCATGACATTCTCGCGCGTATTCGATTGTATCATGAACCATTGTTGGCCAAAAATATCCCATTCTCCTGATGCGATCATACAGTTTAGGGCCGGGCTAATGCGCACCACATTCTCCTTCGTGTGCTTCCTTAAGAACTTCTTCTGCTTCTTTGTTCGAAAGGCATCGGAGTAACAAACCATCGTACCCTCGACGGTATAATGTATGGGTCTCGGTATTATAGAAGAATCTTGGTGCTCTTTTGCAGATTGATTCCCTTTTTTTACATCCTCTGGCAAAATACCATATTAGACGTAGTCAATGATAGGAAAACGCCAATCTCGGGACTCAGACCCAATTTGAGTTGAATTCACCTCCTTGGCGCTTATGTTTCTATCATCTTCCTCTTCAATATCCATATCGTATATGGGTATGCAGAGTTGATGCGTCCTTACTGTGACTAATAGTTCAGTTTCGGGAGGCTGCGCAAGTGATACTACTAGTGCTGCCAGTGCATCCGGATAAGCATTCTGGAGACGAGGGATGTATTCAATAAAGAATTCTTCAAAAGAATCCGCCATTTTGATGGCCTCCTGGTGGTACGGGATCAAGTCTTGGTTCCTAACTTCATACTCTCCACGGACTTGGTTGACTATCAATTGAGAATCCCCAAAAGCTTCAAGATATTCGACCCCCAGCTCCTTGGCGAAACTGTGTCCAATGAGAAGCGCATTGTACTCGGCTACGTTATTGGAACATGGACTAGTCAGTGAATAAGCTCGAGGCATCACATGCATCCCCGAGAAAACTAAGACAACTCCAACTCCGGAGGAGACTTTAGAACATCCGGGGGTTATTGCCCTATTAACTGCCCTCGAAGCACCATCGAAGTATAATTGCCATACTTGTTGGTGCGATGTAGTGTTAACCTCGTGGGTTTCATCCGGCAAGTCATCATATACTTTTGTTGTAT